TGGAACAGACAGTTCTATAAAGATAAAGAATGGAAAATAAGCACATGAATGCTAATTAAAAGCACAGTGAGCTACTATGGCTAAAATTAAAATGATGATGGCAAGTATGCAGATCAAGTGGGACTCTCATACTGGTAAGGAATCAAAATAGTACAATCATTTTAGAAATCAATTTGTGCATGTTTCCTCTCATATGTGAGATTTAAAGTATACTGGGACATTGTAAGTTACACAGTACTCCAGGCATTCATTCATACACACAGTGAGACCAAAGGAGGATACTCTTAGGGGAAGAACACAAAGGCACAATGCCGTGTCTCTGCCAAGTCATTTTTGCAATTTCTTTTTTGTCGTCGTCGTCGTCGTCCTCCTCCTCCTCCTCCTCCCTCCCTTCCTCCTCCTCCTTCCCCTTCCCCTCCTCCTCCTCCTCCCTCCCCTCCTCCTCCTCCTTCTCTTCTTCTTCTTTTGCTGGTCTTGGGGCTTGAACTCTAGGCCTGGGTGCTATTCCTGAGCTTCTTTGGTACAAGGCTAGCACTCTACCACTTGAGCCACAGACTTTCCTTCCTGGGCTGGCTTTGAACAACAATTCTCAGATCTCAGCCTGCCTGGTGAGTAGCTTGGATTACAGGTGTGAGCCACTGCTGTCCAGCAGCAATTTCTTATCAAGTCAAATGTACCTGTAACATAGGACCCTGGTCATTATACCCCTAGGTATTTACTCAAAAAAAAAAATGGATGCAGGAAGGGGTTGTATTGTCCAAAAAGAAATGTACTCATTACCTGATTTATGTAACTGTAACCCCTCTGCACATCACCTTCACAATATATCCTTCCTTCCTTCCTTCACTCCCCTCCTCCCCCTCTCCCCCCCTTCCCACTTGCCAGTCCTGGGGATTGAACTCAGGGCCTGGGCACTGTCTCTGAGTTTCTTTTTGCTCAAGGTTGGTACTCTACCACTTGAGCCACAGTTCCACTTCTGGCTGTTTTCTGTTTATGTGGTACTGAGGAAACAAACCTAGGGATTCATGCATGCTAGGCAAGCACTATAAGCCACATTCCCGG